TTTTGTTCTTTTTTCATATTTTTACTTTTGTGAAGTGTTGGTTTATCCTCTTTCTGATTATTATGGGTATACGTACAATCTATAAAGTTTTAGACACCATAAAGATATCACCTCTTTTGTCTTTAGGACAAGTTTATTTATGTTCTCTTATTTTTTCTGAGTGTCAAGGGAATGTAATAAGGGTTCAAGTGCTGCCAGAACCAAGGAATATTTTTCTTCCTCACGGTCTCTCAATGACCACCTGAGCTTGGTAGACTTTTTTCTCTCCTCATCCATTTCATTTCTCTCTCTCTCTCTCTCACACACACACACACACTCTCTCCCTTTCTCTGAGATTTTTATGCAATTACAACTATTATTTTAACTTTTATAAAAGTACAGTTGCCATATATTATATTAGTTTCAGGTGTAAAACATAATGATTTCACATTTTTATACCTTACAAATGATTACCATGACAAGTCTAATAATAATCTGTCACTGTGCAAAGTTATTAAGATATTATTGACTTTATTCCCTGTGCCGTACACTACATATCTATGGCTTACTTATTTTATAACTGAAAATTTGTACCTCATATTCCCCTTCATCTTGTTTACCTATCCCCGCCTCCTCGCCTCTGGCAACCATCTGTTTGCTTTGTGTATCTATGAGTTTGATTTCTCTTGTTTTGTTTGTTCATTTGTTTTGTTTTGTTTTTAAAAATTCTACATGTAAGTGAAATCATATGGTATTTGTCACTCTCTACCCTACTTACTTTGCTTAGCGTAGTTCCTTCTAGGTTCATGTTGTGTTGTTGCAAATAGCTAGATTTCATTCTTTTTTATTCCTGAGTAATATTCCCTTATTTATATATATATATATATACACATCATTTATATCCATTCATTTATTGATGGCTATCTGACAATCCCACTTCTGGGTATTTATCCAAAGAAAACCCAAACACTAATTTGAAAAGATATATGTGTTCCTGTGTTCATTGCAGCATTATTTACAATAGTCAAGATATGAACAGATTTTTTTAAAGTTTAATTTCAATTTTATTTTTTTTTCCAGAGAATAGTTCTTCATTGTTAGTCCCTTACATGGGCTTTGGTGAAGTTCGTGGGGCAGCACCTGCAGGTCTAAATTGGGGTGGTGGTGTTTGATCCTTCTGGGCTTCATAGAGCAATTCCTGACTACTTTGATGTGAATAGTACAGCTCACACAGTAACCAGTTTCACATACAACTCCGGAAGCACATATGTGTCGAAGACACTTGCTTTGGAAATGTCCCTCACAGCTGCGGCCTCTACAATGTTTCAGATGACGAACTTCTTAATGGACTTGTCCTTGGGCACGCATCAGGCACAGCTGGTGCAGTGAATAGGCTGCATGTGGCCCTGGCTCTTTTTGGCATGACCATTGTTCTTTTTTGGTCATCTTGGAAGTGAGGAGCGAAAAGCTGAAAAGATTTTTTTAAACTTGTTTTTTATTTTTTAAATTTAGTTTTAAGTATTCAGGACATATAGACATCTATATAGTTCATAAAACGATCCCCCCAATTGTACATTTCCTCTCCAGACCCTCCACCTAGCCAACATATTAATGCTAACTGCATTTCCAATGCTGTGCTCCCCATGCCCATGACTATCCATCGGCTACTAATTTGTACTTCTTTCACCCTTCACCCCATTCTCCCAGTTCCCCAAACTCCCCTCCCCTCTGTCTGACACCAAATTGTCCACTATATTTGTGAGTCCATTTTTGACTTGTTCTTTTTATTCCTTAGATTCTGCATATAAGTGAAATCCTATAGTGTTTCTCTTTCTCTGACTTAAATACCTTCTAGGTTCATCAAAGCAATACTTCTTTCCATCCCCTTCCTTTGTGTGTGTGTCTTTTAATCTGAACTGAATCTTTTGTAGGCAGCATATGTAGAGGTGGTTTTCTTATTCTTTCAGCCACTCTATCTTTTTTCTGGAGCACTTCATTCTTTTTCATTTAAGGTACTTATTTATAGGAACGTAGTTCTTACCATTCTTTATTCCTATTTTTGATACATGTTTTTTCTTCTTAAAGAAGTTCTTCTAACATTTTCCATAACACTGGTTTAGTGCTGATAAATTCCTTTGGCTTATTTTTGTCTGGGAAGCTCTTTATCTGTCCTTTAATGCTAAATGATAGCTTTGCTGGATAAATTGTTCTTGGTTGTAGATCCTGGGTCTTCAACCTGTAGAATATTTTTTGCCAAGCCCTTCTGTCCTGCATTGTTTCTTTTGAGAAATCAGCTGCCAGTCTTATGGGTGTTCCCTTATAGGTAACTGTTTTGCTCTTGCCGCTTTTAATATTCTTTCTTTGTATTTAGCCTTTGGCATTTTAATTATGATGTGTCTTGGTGTGGGCCTCTTTGGATCCCTGGTTTTTGGATTCTCTGAGCTCCTTGGAGTTTTATGTCCATTTCCTTGACCAGGTTAGGGAAGTTTTTCATTGTTATTTTTTCAAACAGCTGTTCAACATCTTGGTTTTCTTCAGTTACGCTGATCAGACGGATATTTGGAGCCTTAATAGTGTCCCAGATCCTCTTTAAATTATTTTTATAGTCTTGACATCTTTTTTCTTGCCATTCTGATTGAGTGTCCTTGCTTTCTCATCCTCTAGATAGGGCATTTGATCCCTTTCTTTATTCACTTTGTTTATTCCTGTGTTTAATTACCTCTCTCAGATAATATGTTCTTCATTTCAGACTGGTTCCCTTTTATAATTTCCATTTCCATTTTTATGTTTTTTTTTTATCTCTTTGTTGAAGTTCTCACTGAATTTATCTACACTTCCCAAAAGTTCATTGAGCATCTTTATAACCAATGTTTTGAGCTCTACATCTGTTAGATTACTTGACTATTATATTTGGATCTCTGTTCTGTTCTTTCATATGATTTCTGCTTCTTTGTCTTCCCATTTTCACTGCCTTTCTGTGTCTGTTTTTATGTACTAAGCAAAGCTCCCAAGTCTCCCGGTCTTATTAGTGTGGCACAGACCTGAGAGGGGTTCAGCTGCAGGCCAAATTTAGCCCAAGCCTCTACCCCTCTGGGGCTACCTGTTAAAATTCAGTGAGCAGTCCACAGATCCTGTGCTTATAGTTTCCTTAACAGGCCACAATCAGAAACTGAGGTCAACTGCCTCTCCAGTGTTAGTCTCAGCAAGGAGCACCTGACTCGCTGAAGATATATATGGATGTGGCTTGGGTAGGACTGTGAGTTTGGGCAGGCGGAGTTTCAGGGACTTTTCTGGGCAGAGTGACCTCTGTTATCCAGTTTGATGACTTCCCGGCTATGGCGATGCTATGTCCAATGCAATGGTAAGGGGGAGAGCTCAACAGGGGACAATGAATACCGTTGGCACTTGTGTACAGAGCGAGTCTTGCCTCGACCCTCACTCTGACAATGACTCCCTGTAAGTCCCTGGTGCCCCCTGTGTGCAGCTGAATTGGCACTGGTGCTTAGAGTGAGTAGGTTCGTTGCTGCAAAAATCCAGTCGCAGACACGGCCCCTTTAAGAGGCGTCTGCTGCTGCCGCAGCCTCCGTCTCAGCCACTCACATCACACAGCCCTGCATCCTCGCCCAGTCCTGCCTTCTGCCATTGCAGGGTGATTTCTTGGATTTATCTGTAGTTGTATGGCTTTTTCATCCCAGACGACTTTTTCTTGCTACTGTTCTTTGTTTCTATCACCACTTTGATTTGGTCACCAGAGAGATGAACAGAGCCTCGATCATATACACCATTTTTTTTTCTCATGTCAATTTTTAAAAAAATATTTGTTTAAATACACAGCAGAAAATGGCCATCCCAACATGAAACCCAAGTTTATGTGTCCATGGCAGGCTTAAGAATTGGAATTTCTAGGAACAACGTTTATTGTAGATAGGGAACCTTCACTGATCTGGCCAGCTTAGGTTATAACCACTCCTACCTGATTCAGTATGGCTAGAGCTGCAATGGAAATAACACAGCTATGGTTGTGTGTTTGTGTGTGTGTGTGTGTGTGTGTGTGTGTGTGTGTGTGTGTGTGTGTGTGTGTGGGTGGGTGTGTGTTACTTGTGGATGTGAGCGGTTCTCAGAACAGAGGAACTAGGGATCATATATTCCAGGCAACTCTTGCAGTACAGGGGCCAGAACTCAATCAAGAGAAGGTACTAAGGAGGGCTCTCTTTCCATGCATGGGACTCCTTTGCAACAAGAGCAATAAAATGCAAGACGTAGTGTGGACGAGGAAGTCCCTGTGCCTGAGGTTTCAGCAGTAGCAGAGAGGCCAGTTCACTCCTCAACTTGTCTGACAACTTTTCTCATCCTCATCCTCATGCTCATTTACCTCTAACACTGGCTTCCTTTTTTGGGCTAAACATTGAAATAAGCTCCTTCCTCAGGGACTTTGCATTGGCTATTCCTTCGGCCAGACATGTACTTCCCCAAATAAACTTGCATCACCCTCCCTCTCTTACTTGAGGTAGCTATTTCAATGTCAAAAAGGCCTTGTTTGCAAGTCTTGCCTAAATATCCATGAAAAATAAAATGCCCTAGTCAGTTTTTCCTTTAGACCTGCTTTCCTTTTCTTCATTCCACCTGTCACCATCTGACATGTTATCCATTTTTATTATTTGCTTCTATATTTTTTCTCCATCATTGACTTGTAGAGACATTTGTTTTTAAACACTGTATACTCACAGCTTAGACAATGCCTAAAACATGATCAGCACTCAATTTATATTCCTGAAATACATGAAGAATTTCTCATTAAAACTGTAGCACACATGATACCTTAGGGAAAAAGGTGATTGAAACAAAAATTTCATATCACAGGTGGCATGGAGATCCCTAAAGGGAACCAGATTCATACACAATATAATAAAATTAATTTTTGACTGCAAATATAAACTGTAGCATTCAAATTATGTGAGTAATGCAAGTTAGTGTGAATTAGTCATGTTATTTCCCTCTTTCCTGGAAGTCACCTCCACTGCATGGAACTGGAAAATGTTACATGGATTACAGAATTTCTTCTTCTGGGACTTTCAGAGGAACCAGAACTGCAGTCCTTCATCTTTGGGATTTTCCTCTCTATGTACCTGATCACCATGTTTGGAAACCTGCTCATCATCCTGGCCATCAGCTCAGATCCCCACCTCTACACGCCCATGTACTTCTTTCTCTCCAACCTCTCCATGGTGGACATTTGTTTCATCTCCACCACCATCCCAAAGATGCTGGTAAACATCCAGTCACAGAGCAAAGTCATAACCTATGAAGGCTGCATAACCCAGATGTATTTTTATATTCTTTTTGTAGGACTGGATAACTTAATATTGACCATGATGGCCTATGACCGGTTTGTGGCCATCTGTCATCCACTGCACTACACAGTCATAATGAACCCCCAGCTCTGTGAACTGCTGGTTCTGTTGTCCTGGATCATGAGTGCCTTAATTTCCTTGTTACAAAGCTTAACGGCATTGCGACTGTCCTTCTGTATAGACTTGGAAATCTCACAGTTTTTCTGTGAACTCAATCAGGTGATACAACTCGCCTGCTCTAACACCTTTCTTAGTAATATGGTAATGTATTTTTCAGCTCTGCTGCTAGGTGGAGGTCCTTTTGCTGGGATTCTTTACTCTTATTCTAAGATAGTTTCCTGCATACGTGGAATGTCATCAGCTCAGGGGAAGTATAAAGCATTTTCTACCTGTGCATCTCACCTATCAGTTGTCTCCTTATTTTATTTTACAGTTCTAGGAGTGTACCTCAGCTCTGCTGCTACCCACAGCTCACAGTCAAGTGCAATAGCCTCAGTGCTATACACTGTGGTCACACCCATGCTGAACCCTTTCATCTACAGTCTGAGGAATAAAGACATAAAGGGGGCTCTGAAAAGTTTCTTTGTGAAGGAAACCACAAAAGGTCCAATTGTCCTAGGACTAAAGAAGTGCCCATGGTTGCGGAAGTCAAAGGCTCAGAGCCAGCTATTGTGATTGTTTTCAAACTATGGAAGTAGAACTTATTCTTTATGTTAATACCTTGGAATTTCTTTGAGCCTAATTTCAATATTCAACTTTAGTAATTCACTTTTTTAAGCTTTTTCGCTCGCTGATATCCAAGTTTTTTCTTTGTTGTTTTCCTACTTTCCCAAATTTATTTCCACCATGCATCAGAAATGTTTGAAAAATCCCATTTACCTATTGATACAACATGGATTTTTTAAGAATAATTTTTCTCAAATGACAAATATCTTTTTTTATACCATTTTTTTTTTTTACTAAAGAATCATCATGAATTGTACTACTCCTAAGGAAAACATAACTACAGTTAATAACCCATGACACTTATATAATTTTTATTAAATTTATTTGGGTGACACTGGTTAATAAAATTATATATGTTTCAAGTGTTCAATTCAAGAATACATCATCTCTATATTGCATTGTAAGAGTGGAAAATCTGAGAGCACTGTTTTTCACTTTTATGTCTGACATTGCTTTGTAAATCACTATCTTAACTACTCTTCCTGATAACGCAGACTGTAACATACTAGTGTGTTTTAATACCCGGTCACTAAGTTTTATTCTCCTCATTAGAATCCTGTTCTCTTTCAGCTCAGTGTCCACAAACCCTACTTTAGTCACTCACAAAATGATTATTAAATGCATATTATTAGAAGGATTCTTCACTGAAATGTAAATTTAAAAAATAGGTTGATCTAATATGACTTTAAAATCACAAATGACCTTCAATATGATGAAACAAAAATTTAAATCACATATTGTATTATTGTGAAAAATATTCTTCATGCCGTACATCTATTCATTGGAATATGGAGGATTGGTGCCGATGTGTAAGGGATTTATATACATGGGTGAAGAATTGATTGGCATTTTTCTATCTTTTGTTGAATTATCTTTGTGTTTCAAAGTTATAGGCAGCTTGAAAACCTTCAGTGCTGCCTATAGAATATGACTCCTTTAATTGTGTAAAGAAAATATATCCCCCTTTCTAAATTTTGTCATAACCACAAGAGGGATGGTGAATGATCATTATCAGTATCATCCATTATGTATCTTCAAATCTCAGGATTCTATTCACCTTTCGTGATCAAAGAATGACTCCATTTTACATTTCTGTTCAGTCATGCGAATCAGTGTCACCAGTTTTCCTATATACACTCATGTTCTTTCAACCTTGCCTGGTTACAGGGAAATGATCCCCAATGAAAGTTTTTAAATACAGCTGTTTGAAATAAACTGAAGTCACAGAGTAACCATGAATGCTGTCTTCAAATATGAGAACAAATATCAAGAATGTTATTCTGTATACTTAGTGCTAATAAGTCAACCTTCATATATATTTCTAACTTGTTTTTACATCTGTTATCCTGTATTGTTCCCTTTGGCCTATATGATTAGATCTATTTCTAAAACTTGCACCATCTTCAACTCTCATGTGTAAGGCATTCTTATTTACATTTGACTAAAGATCACCTTTCCTTCCTTAGATGTATTCAAATCCATCTATCTCTATATAAGAAATTACAACTTAGAGAGTGGTTCCTCCCCATTTTTATTTTTTTTACATTTTTAATTTTTGTTTTTGTTTACTTTCATTTTTATTCTTCGATTAGAGTTGACATTAAACAGAATTCTATATTAGTTTCAGGTGTACAGTGCAATGGCCAGACACCTATAAAATTCACGGAGTGATCCCCTGAGCAGTTCAGCATTCATCTGGCACCATATGTAATTGTAATATTATTGTCTACATTCCCCATATTGTACTCACATCCCTGTAACTATTTTGTAACTACCAATTTTTACTTCTTAATCCTTTCACCTTTTTCAACCAGTTCCCCATATTACCTCCCACCTGGCAATCACCAGTTTGTTCCCTATATCTATAAATCTGTTTCTGTTTTGTTCATTTAGTTTCTTCTTTAGATTCTACATATTAGTAAAATTATATGGTACTTGTCCTTCTCTGTCTGACTTATTTCATGTAGCATCCATCCATGCCATTGCAAATGGTAAGATTTCATTTTTTATGGCTGGGTAATGTTCCATTGTATATATACACCACAACCTTTTTCTCCAATTGTCTATTGATGGGCACATAGGTTGCTTCCATATCTTGGCTACCGTAAATAACACTGCAGTGAACACAGGAGTGCATATATCTTTTCAAATTAGTGTTTTGGTTTTCTTCTAATAATTGCTCAAAAGTGCAATTGTTGGATCATATGGTAGTTCTATTTTTAACTCTTTCAGGAAATCCAAACTATTTTCTATAGCTGCAGTACCAATTTGCAATCCCACCAGCAGTGCACAAGGGTTTACTTTTCTACGCATCTTCATCAACACTTGTTTTTCAGTTTATTGATAGTAGCCATATTGACAAATGTGAAGTGATATGTCATTGTGGTTTTAATTTGCATTTCTCTGATTTTTAGTGATGTTGAGCATCTTTTTCATATGTCTATTGGCCATCTGTATGTCCTTTCTGGAGAAATGCCTATTCAGGTCTTCTGCCCATTTTTTAATTGGCTTGTTAAGCTAAAGGAATTTATCCACACCAAGCTAGTATTACAGGAAATGATGAAGGGACTCCTTTATGAAAAAAACATGTATCAAAAACAGGAATACAGAATAGTAACAACTACATTCCTATCAACAAGTACTTCAAATGGAAAAGAATTAAATGTTCCAACCAAGAGATGGAGTGCTGAATGGATAAGAAAACAAGACCCCTACATATGCTGCCTACAAGAGACTCACTTCACATTATAAGACATGCAAACTATATAAATGTTTAACCAATGTACTGTATACTTGAAACTAATTAAAATAAATAAGTAAATTTATATATGTAAAAAAAGACACACACACTAAAAGGAAGGGGATGGAAAAAGATGTTGCCTTGATGGACCTAGAGAGTATTGCGCTGAATGAAATGGGTCGGGTAGAGAAAGACAAATATCACATGATTTCACATACGTGTGGAATCTAAACAACAAAATAAACAACAACAAAAGCAGGTTGTTAATAAAATTGACAAACCCCTGGCTAGACCCACTAAAGGAAAAAGAGAAAAGTCACCAACAAAATAAGGAATGAAAGAGGAGAAATTACGATAGACATCACAGAAATACAAAGGATCATACAAGAATACTATAAAGAAGTATAAAACACCAAATTTAATACTTAGAAGAAAGAGACAAGTACTTAGAAAGATACAACCTTTTTAGACTGAATCAAGAAGATCTGGAAAATCTAAATAGGCCCATCGGCAGTATGGAAATTGAAACAATCATCAGAAACCTACCAAAAAGTAAAAGTCCAGGACCATATGGCTTCACCTGTAAATTCTACTAAACGTTCAAAGATTTAATATCTATTGCCCTCAAATTCTTCCAAACAATAAGAGGAGGCCTCACCTAACTCATTTTATTTTTTTTATTTATTTATTTATTTATTTATTTATTTATTTATTTATTTATTTATTACAATTTTTAAAAAATTGTGGTAAAGTACATGTAACAAAAACTTACCATTTTGATCATTTTTAAATGCACAGTTCAATGGTATTAAACACATTCATAATATTGTACAACCATTATCACCATCCATCCCCAGAAGTTTTTCATCATGTAAAACCGAAATTCTACACTCATTAAACAATGCCCCATCCCCCCAAGCTCCAGGCCCTGGCAACTACCATTCCACTTTTTGTCTTCGTAATTTCTATTATTCTAAATGGAATAATACAGTATTATTATTTGACTTAGCATAATGTCTTTAAGGTTCATCTGTGGTATAGTATATTGAAGAATTTCCTTCATTTTTGAGGCTGATTAATACTACATTTTATGAATATACCACATTTTGCTTACCCATTCACCAATGATGGACACTTAGGTTGTTTCCACATTTACCTATTATGAATAATGCTTCTATAAACATGGGTGTATAAATATCTCCTTAAAAATGTTTTGAATGATTTGGAGTATATTCCCAGAAGTGGAACTACTGGATTATATGGTAACTCTTTTTCATTATTTGAGGAACTACCATACTATTTTCCATAGTGACTGTACCATTTTACATTTCCATCAATAGTGCACAAAGGGTTCCAATTTCTCGAAATTCTCACAATGCTTCCTCTTGTCTGTTTTTTTGATAGTAGCCATCCTAATGGATGTAAAGTGTTATCTCACCATGGGTTTTCTTTATTCTCAGACTGTAGTCATTGCTGTAAATCTGTTTTTTTTTTAAAATTTATTTTTATTATGGTGACATTGATTAATGAAATCCAATAAGTTTCAGCTCTACAATTCAACTGTAAGGCATATATATATTGTATTGTGCGTTCACCTCTCATAGTTAGATTTCTTTCTGTCACCACATATTTAACCCCTTTTACCCCATCTCCCTCTCCCCTCTGGTAACCACTAGTCTATTAGCCATATCCATGATCTCTGTTTGTCCTATTTGTTTGTTGCTTTTAGGTTTACATCTCACATATAAGTGATATCATGTGACTTTTAACTTTTTCTGTCTGCTTAGCATGATTATCTCGAGGTCCATCCATGTTGTCACAAATGGCAGTATTTCATTTCTTCTTATGCCTGAGTAGTATTCCATTGTATATATATACCACAGCTTTAGCCAATCATCTGTTGTAGGACACTTTGGTTGCATGTTTATAGTGTAAATGGGTGATATTAAGCTTTTTGATTGTAATGTACATGATTGAAATTAAGCTTTTGATTTCAAGGCATCCATTTGAAAGACAACCATGTCAAGTAAACATTGCCAGCTGTATGACAAACTATTAGATAAGCACGCAGGTTGCCCCCACCAATGAAGTCCCCTTTATAGAAAGCCCTCAGTAGCCTAGATAACTGGCCTCATGAGTGACCCTGCTTTTCCCTTTCCATGCCCTAATTTTACTACTGGGTTTTAAAATTCTCCAAGAAAAAGTGAAC